CGCACGTCTTTCCGCTAATGAGCCTCTTATAACCAGTCAAGTCCTCTCAACAATGGACACATTGCTCTCTGTTTTTACTTTTAAATAAATAACTCATCTTCACTTCTCTGTTTTGCTTTTAAATAAATAACTCATCTTCACTTCTCTAACCCTGGACAATCTCTGCTTTTGCAGCGATGCAATTCTGTTGATGGGTAACAGAGGAACTCCGTCCAATACACCACAGATTGAACCATGTAGAGAGCTTGCGCTGATGTAAGATAAATGCAAGGTAAAGCTGGAATGCCTGTTAATTTAGAAGTCACTGAAATGTTAACATTGAAACCCATGTTCTACTACAAAACACAAAGCCTGTCATTGAAACTAGAATACCTATATAGTGACTTTCTTTAGTGCGCATCAGATCAAGGACCATGCAAACATGACCTGGCATTTTTAAACCAATAGCAGTTTAAATGTAAACAACCATACAGGATAATTTTTTTTTTTTTTTTTAAAGTTGTTCTGGGGCACAGATTCCACTATATATCCAATGATTGGCAAATGCTGGCTTATTACCTATTACACTTCCTACTTTGGACTGGTACATGATTGACTGGGCGTCACTGCTCTGACTTCTATCCCAGATCTGGTCTGCAGGTTAAGTAAACATAATTATATCCAGTTAATGATTTATGTGGTCAGAAAAACATTAAATTCCAACTCCCTCAAGCAAATATTTGTTCTGCATGGTCAAGTCAAACTGCAATCACATGCCGGCTCCCTTACGTTTGCTCCAACCATGAAACATTAACCACCAAAAAGCTCTGCCCATGGTCAAACAAGTGGCATCACCTTCCATGATGGAGCCTCCATAAAGGTGAAACAAAACAATAAAACATGGGGAATTACAGACACCACAGACTCTGGTAAAATAAAGTGGTTGTGGGGCTGGAGACACAAACCACTGAGGAATGCTTTGTAACTTCACATACAACCGTCATAAGAGACACTCGCATTATACAGTTGGCATTCCCTTCTGAAAATGCCACTTCACCTGCCTCTCAGGCCAACCCTGTTGGCTTCAAGAGTGACTCACTCACAGATCAATTATGCAGATCAGAACTTCTGACTTAGTTTAAAGTGACACTACACTCAGGAGTTACATCTTAAAAATACATTCAGGTACCTTAACTATTACCAAAAATGTCTCTTATTTGTGTATCACTCGGCTGTAGATCCTCCAATCATCTCTGAATTGGTGCTGACACTGTCCTTCCTTCTGGAGGGTGGCTACTTTTGTTCCCCATGGTCCCTGTGTGTTGGCAAGTAATCACCACTCAAAGCTCGCTCCCTTGATGGACTACAATCTCAATACAAACTAGAAATGAGATTGTAGTCCATCCCGGGAGCGAGTTTGGAGCGGGACCATGGGGAACAAAAGTAGCCCCCCCCTCCAGAAGGAAGGACAGTGTCGGCACCAATTCAGAGATGATTTTAGGATCTAGAGCCGAGTGATACACAAACAAGATACATTTTTGTTAATAGCTACGGTACTTGGATGCATTTTTTAAGATTTAACTCCTGAGTTTAGTGTTACCAATAAAAAAAATCTATGGAAATGTAGCCGTCATGTCCCGTAACAGATGTCCCAGCGAAGCCCACATCACAAAAACAACCGTAAAAGTTAAAAAGGCACATACTGTATTGAAATTAAATTAAGACAAACATATACTGACACTCAAGACAACACAAAAAGGTAGGAAATTTACATTTTACACCTTGGGAAGAAAAACAACAAAAACAACAAAAACTCACAAATAGCATCTCTATTTATACATGTGCAAATTAACTTGCATATATGAGAGAATGAGGTCCTCATTGTCTAACAGTGTGTATTGTATAGACGTTCCACCGACAGCGGCAAGAAAGACGTTACTGGGGGTGAAAACCAAAAAAAAAAAAAAAACATGAAGCCAAAAAGCTTTACGAATTAAAAAAAAAAATTTAAAAATAAACAATGTCAAAACAGGCGAGAGGAAGTTCATACAACAAAGCATTGATAAATTCATTTCTATACCGTTTTTCATATGACGTAAATTAAAATCAGTGCAACACAATAATGTACAAAATGCCCAATTCTCTTTTTTCAGGTTTTTTTTTTTTTCAGGTTTTTTTTTTTTCTTTGAATGATAGAAGAGTCAAGAATTGTAGAACTATTGCTGGAGGATGACAGGTTTTGCAATTGGAGGTTGGCAGTGTATGCGCTCGGCTGGATTTTGGAATGTTTTAGGATGCCGATTCATACTGCCAGCAGCAGAGGCAAATGCTAGAGGCGCCAAATATTTAAGGGAGAGTCTGGAAGAAAAAGAACACTGCAACATAAAAAAAACTTGCCTCTTCTATGGTAAGATTGCCAAAACTACCAAGTGTACCCACACCGCCATAGTCTTCCAAAACTACCAAGTGTACCCACTGCCATGATCTGCCAAAACTACCAAGTGTACCCACACCTCCCTGATCTGCCAAAGCTACCAAGTGTACCCACACTGCCCCAATCTGCCAAAGCTACCAAGTGCACCCACACCTCCATGGTCTGCCAAAACTACCAAGTGTACCCACACCTCCCTGATCTGCCAAAGCTACCAAGTGTACCCACACTGCCCCAATCTGCCAAAGCTACCAAGTGCACCCACACCTCCATGGTCTGCCAAAACTACCAAGTGTACCCACACCTCCCTGATCTGCCAAAGCTACCAAGTGCACCCACACCTCCCTGATCTGCCAAAACTACCAAGTGTACCCACACTGCCATGGTCTGCCAAAACTACCAAGTGTACCCACACTGCCCCGATCTGCCAAAGCTACCAAGTGTACCCACACTGCTCTCATCTGCCAGTCTGAGAGTGCCATACCAAAGGCATTGGCCTACCTTTTGCCTTACCCGTGTGAAAGGCACCCCGGAGGATTCAGCCATGAATTATTCAGGAAACCTTCAGACTGACATAGCAAACTGGATTTGCCCATTATAAAATGCAAGCAAGTAACACTACGGGGGCGATAGGCAGCCGAGTCCCAGGCATGGCCTATACATGATATGCTGGTACCTGTAGTTTAACTGTAGCTTTACAACACCAACATCTATGCCCTCTGTACTGTCATCAAATGTACAAGCTTCTGTACAGGCAGAACGCCATTTTAAAGCGCACCATCACATACAGGGTGCAGTCATTATCCTTGCTAAACCAACACACGTAAGAGGACCGCTAAACATAATTCAGGAGACTGAATGTTAAAGTTCTTACAGCGTTTTCCGATAAATATGTAAACGTTTCAGAAGATGATCGGGATGGAAGATGAGGATGGGGTACAGTGGAGGGTGATAACTGTTGGCTTCTTGTTCAGCAATGCCACAGAGGGAAACCACCAGCGCTCCCTACATCCATTTCCTCCCAGTGGCAGCTCACAGGCTGCCAACAAAAAAGGTACAAAAGCCACAAATATCCCCATTTCTGTCTCACATAGAACCGTAAATGTAATAGTAATTTTCAACTATTGATATCTTTGTCTTAAGTTCTGAGGTCCCCACACCCAGGCATGTTTACAGGATGGATGGAGAGTAATGGAAGAGCTTAAATACTTTTTTCCCCCCTGAGAAAAGTGTTTCTTCAGGCTCCCTCCCTGTATCACATGACCAAAAGCCAAGGCACTCATTCACATGGCCTCAGCTAAACATCTGCATTCTGACCTTCCTCTTCAGGGATCACATGACCTCATGGCTAGGCTGTTGACTGATGGAAGGAGCCTGGAGCAGCATTTTCTCTAGGAAGTCAGTCACTACATCTTATCGATCCCAGCAAGATTATTAAACATGCATACTATGGCCAAAATGATTACACCTACACCGTGTCTAAAAATAAGAGGGCACCCCTACAAATGATTGAGTCAAGTCGTTTCCATTGAAGAGTATTGTTAACACTACAACATACAAAGACATTTTAGATCAATATGCCTTCCTATCTTTGTGGCAACCGTTTTGGGGAGAGCCCTTTTCGGTTTAGTTTCAACAGGCCATTGTGTGAAAAACCAGCTCCATAAAGACATGATTTGATGAGCTTGGTGTGGAGGAACTTGAGTGACCTACAGAGTCATGACCTCAACCCTAATGAATACCTTTGGGATAAATTGGAATGTTGACCGGGAGCCAGGAATTCTCATCTAACATCAGTACCTGACCTCACAAATGCTCGCTTGGCCAAATGGCACCAATTCCACTCCAAAATCTTGTGCAAAGCCTCCTTAGAAGGGTATAGGCCATCACAGCTGCAAAGGGGGTTGCAATTCCATAATAATGCCCATAGCAGTCAGGTGTCGGCACACTTTTGGCAACATAATTTGTTTTGTTAAAATTAAACTTATTTTAACATAAAGCTATGTTAAAATTAAAGTGCGGTTTTACTTTAAGAATTAACTGATTTTTCAAACATCGTTTAAGCATTCAAAAAAAGGGGGGGAAAAAAAGAAGAAGCCGGCCTCCACTGAATGACAGCCATGTTCCAAATTCTCTGCACACAAATAAAATAAAAAATAATACAGGAAAAAAAAAAAAAAAAACCATGTACACCCTCTTGGTATCAT